TACCTACAGCAGCAGGAACAGAAACAGCAATCAGAGAACGTGTGTCATCACTCGGCCAAGTGGATTGAGTGTTGAATGGATTTTTCCTGGAGAGAAATGGTGCCAAGGTCTCCACTACTGCTACGTGATTCTGCACAAACTCCAGCTTCTTGCACACAAAAGGGAAGTTCAAATAATGCTGCACTATACGAAGACACCTATGGTTGTTTGTGTGACTTTCCTCAGGCAGAAGCCGGAGCAGAACCTCCCTGAAGTATGCCAGGAACAGGAAGAAAGCTGTCAAATGATCTTGGATAGCAAATGTCAAATGACCAAGTACACAACAGCACTGATTTATTTTTTATTTCAAAGTTGGGAAGGAAACTCCACAAAAAGGAAAATAAAACACAGTCTTAGAGTACGCCAGAGACCAAATTCCCTTCTTAGCTGAGATCCGTGAAGCAACCTTCAGCTGTGAACACAGAGGTGATGGCTCAGTGGCTCCGCTCTGAATGCCGCAGAGCAACAGCCCTGGAGCTAGTACATGAAGCCAGGAGGGGGAAAACAGGGCTGCCCACCGAGAGCTGCTTTTAACATGATAGTACCTGGATTCCCACCAGTCTAAAGCTCTCATGAGGGTTTTTCAGTCCTGCTCTGGTTTTGATTTCCATGGTATCTCTGTTAGTAGCCCAAACTGTGGCTATATAGCAGTCTTCGCCGAACACTGCTGCTCCATTACCTGCTGCTGTACTGTCAAAGTCATTGGGGATAAGAAGTCATTTTTCCCTTCCTAATCAGCTGGATGTCATTCAGAAAGCTGGGACAAGGAGATTTTTTTCCCCAGACACCAGCTTTCCTTGGTAGCAGACAAACCTCGAGCCTTATAATACTTCTACATAGCACTTACATGGCTTTACATCATCAAAGTGCTGTACTAGCATTAAGTAATTATCTCTCTTCCTAATGGCCGTTAACGCTGGCCTTTCATGAACCTCCCCGAGCTCCCTGAGGTTCATGTCTAATACAGCAATAAGCTGTTCAAAGGGAGTGGCTGGTTATCTTGCAAGTCTGCGGGCTTGGATGTGTAATGAGGTTTCAGAGCAGAGGCCAGGTGCCCTGGAGTATCAGAAACATGTGGCTGTAGATCAGGTCATGCAGTTGGGACTATCCATTAGGAAAGGTTGGAAATTAGTAGAAGATACTGTGATCTTGAAATGGAGACAGAAAAAGAAAGCCTTGGCCACTCAGAGGATATGCACTGGTTGCTCTGTTTGTTACCAGGATAGTACTGCAAGCTGAAAGAGCAAAGCAGTGGGAATAATATGTCAGTGTGGGCACAGGGAAACGATATAGGGAGAGAAACTTACAGAGCTAAAAATGTCAAGCAAAGCCAGACAGCCATGGCAATGGGATAAAGAGGCCAGTCTGCAGGTCTACGAAGCATTAAAATAACAAGGAGAAAGGACGAGCTTGGCAGTATCATAGGATTTAAAAGGAGGAACAGAAGAGGATTTATTTGCCTTATTTGCTTGACAGCAAATCCCTCTTCCGGGTTGTGGTGTGTCCCCAGTGGAGATGTCGCAATGACATGTTGGAGGACATTTCACCCTTAGAGGCCTTTAGAAGATGAACCTGCATGGTGGCTGGGCTCCCTCATCCCTGGCTCCCAAGGGAAATGGAGGAAGATGGGGTGGGAAGATGACATGACTGTTTTAGAAAAGACTCAGAAGTAGCATGCTCCTGACAAGCATCAGTCTTGCATGCTCTCTTATTTCTGAAATCTGCCAGGCCCAGCTCTGAGTAAAGAAGGGCTTGACTGAAGCAAACTTTCAGCTTCTTTCTAAAGACATAACGATTCTTTCCAAAGCCAAGGACACGCCATGCAAACTGGTTTTGCAAAAGAAAAAAGCAGCATCCTCTTTTTCTAGCCTGATTTAATAGCATCATTTTGCTTTTACGCTTTTGGCAATGACTGGTCCTGTAAAAAAAGTATGTAGCTGTGGTAATCGTGCAAGTCTATAGTGGCATAACACAGATTACAGCCACTACATGTTACGCAAAGGATTTCTGTCACCCTGGACATACACTGTTTCCTACGGCATCAGTAGCACAATTCCTCTGTGCTCAGCTGTAAATCATTTTGCTACATCAGCAAATAACAGGGTATGGCTGACTGCAGACCAGGAAGACTCGACTTAGTGTTCTCTTACTACACAGCTTCAGAGCAGGGCCTCTCCCTGCCTTCCTGCATCTGTTTTCTCATCTGTGAAATGGGAATTTTAATCCTAATCAGTTTGTGAGGGGAGCAATAAGGGATAGTTACAGGAGATACTTTAAAATATAATAGTCAGCCTTATGTGCTAGGTTAGACACTGGAGTGGTTTTATGGTACAGTTTAACTGATGACTGTTCTGCTTAGAGTTAGCTAGTAGGTGCAAGATTTAACACTAGCTCTCAAAAATGTAGCACCTTGTTTGAGATGCAAAGAATACCTCTGCAAAGAATACCTTCTTATCTAGGAGCAGAACTGAGCCCTGTTTTGGGACCCACACCTTTCTGGATATTGCTTGGGGTTCTTTCCCCCCAAAAAATGAATTTTATTATTAATTATTACTGTATTGATTTTTAGTAAAAGATATGTCTCACATGACAGGGATGTGATGAATGCTTTGGCAGTCCCTGGACCCCACCATATGAGCTAAGGCAAGACTGTTTTGTCACATCATTGGGACAACTGTTACCTGTGTATGTCACTTGGCTGGCAGTTCTTCACCAGGATGTGTCTAGAAGACACCAAAGACCTCGAGTTTATTTTAGCTTATTAGAACTGAGGTGGGACTACTGGCTTCTCTGCTCTGCTTTCAAGGCCAGATTCTCAAGTGGGGTAAATCAGGGCCCTCCCATTCAAGTATTATTGTTGTAATACCGTTCGTGTAAGCTGAGGACCTGGCTCATAGATTTTGAACTGCTGTAAGACCTGTACAAAAAGGAGTTAAGTGTTCTCGATACATTACTACCTGTAATCTCAAATGATCCTGCAAGATTCAGGATATTGCAAATATGGAAAGCTTTGCAATAAGTAATCATTTCGAGATTGCTGGAAAACTGAAGAGTTAGTGCTACTTAAAGGAGAACAAAATAAGCATTAGCACAGAACAGTTTTTGTAACAATCAAGTTTGATGTATGTTCTGTTCTGTCGATAACATTTCCTCGGAGCCCTTCACAAGAAGGGAGAGCAACTTGTAAAAGCTGGGAATGCAGGAAAGAGCTAAAATTGCAGTCAGGGTTTCAAAGGAACAAACAAAGAAAAGCATATTTCCATTACGGGAGAACATTCTTGGGAGTTCAGAGCTGCAAGCTGAGAACACACCAGCCAAGCCATCTCTAAATAGGAGGTGTAGAAATGCAATGAGCTTTTTATCTTCATGCATCACAGTTCTGAGCACTCAGAAAAGAAAGATGTTCTTGAGACTTTTAAAACACCTTTTTTTTTTGAAGGAGGCTTTGTTTCAGAGTTAGAAAAAGAGTTGGTCCGCAGACCTCCGAGTACAACAGTGCAAGCCCGAGTCCAAATTCTGCCAAACCCCAGACTCACACCCTTCTTGCAGAAAGCCTGCTAAGCATCATACCCACTTCACACCCTGTTCCAACACACCTCCCCAGCACTGTCCCTTTTGCTTCCAAGCACTGCAGCGTGTCTCTGCACTGACCCTACGCCACACTAGTTCTGCTTTAATCAGGCAAAGAAACCCGTGGCAGCTTGGGAAAACTAGCAGCTCGGAGGAGAGCTTTTGTTTGTACAAGAAACATTTCATCCAAGTAAGCACAACAATGTCATTATTTTAAATAGCCACATATATGCTGGAAACCTAGATACCAGATACCTTCTCCCCTGATCTGTCACAGGATGAGAGAGGTTTCTTCCTGTGTGATTCAGCTGCAGCGCTACAAAGTTATTAGCACTTGCTTTTTTGGTGTCCGTAATGAGACAAGCAGTTTTCCAAGCAGTGCCACAAAAGCACTCTTTCTCATCACCACTAAAACCTCAGGCACTTTACCCTCAGCAGAAACAAGTGCTGGGGACTTGCAGCCATACTGCTTCCAGCGCCGGCTGGTCTTATCAATTAGCTGTTTCCCCACAGATGGTGCTTCTTATGTAGGACAGAACAGAGAAAAACTTGTCCTGCTCAGAGATGCTTGTTTAGAAATCTCTAGTGAATCTGAAGGTAAATCCATCTGCTTTCAAACTGTTTGCATGTTTCTACCTGCTGGATTCATGTGCCTTAGAGAAAGGTAGATCCTGACTGAGAAAGTGCCTTTCCCTGGCTTGGCATACCCCAACGGGACTTTGCCCATGGGCTCTTCCACTTCCAAACTCTCCAAAGGGGCTGGCTTTCCTGCCTCCATTAAATGCCTGGCATACCCCTGCCTGCAAAATCTTGTTCTTTACAAACAGACCGCCTTTTTGCAGTATGGTCCTGCAGTCATTTACATATTCAAAGCACTCTTTGAAAAGGCCCGCAGCAGTTTTATGAGCACAAAATCTTTCATGCAATTAGGTGATGTGCAGATGCCTCTGCATGGTTTTTAGAAAACCTTACCGAAAAGAGGGATAAACCTCATGCTGAATTTCTGGTGGCTGCCTCAGAGCACTGAGGCCCTGCAAAACTCAGCAAAATACTTGGCTGAACACTGTTTCTTGCCTTGCCTCCATCCGACTGTGGAGTTTCAGTATACTCTTGGCATTTTGTCATTTGATTTCTTTACAAACCTATTTTGGGAGGAGAGGGCATCATTTATCTTCATACATTTCACTCCCTATCCATCACGTTAACCAGGTGGGATTGGTGGGTAAGCTCATGGGTGGTCAGGGAGGCAGTAGCAAGCCCAGCTTTTTTGAACAGCTCCATGTTGATGTACCTCGCAGGGAGGCCCTGAGTTTGTCCACATCACACCAGGGCTGACCGCTTCCCCAGGGCTCTCTTCACTCAGATGTCCTTGTGCCTTTGCCCTCACCCAGGTTGGAGGACACACCATGCTGCCTATCCGCTGGATGCCTCCGGAGAGCATCATGTACAGGAAGTTCACAACAGAGAGCGACGTCTGGAGCTTCGGGGTGATCCTCTGGGAGATCTTCACGTATGGGAAGCAGCCCTGGTTTCAGCTCTCAAACACAGAGGTACAACAGCACTGAGATACCTCAGCTGGAAACTGTACTTTTTATCATCTGTCCCTTGCAGACACTTGCAAAACGGTTTGTACACAGGTGGTCCCCTCTTTGGCACCTGCAATAGTTTGTCACTGCATCCGTTTTCAGGCACAGAGATAAAACACTTCACCATGGCAGAAGTGTCATATCTTCGCTGAAGTGCTGGGGAAACTGAGGCATGCTGGAATCAAAGGGCTCTGCCAAAGCCATGTATTGGCTCATCCTCAGTCTCTCCCTTCTAAGTTTCTGACATACCACATCTGATGATAAACTCTCGAGGTGCTGCCAGAACTGCGAATACCCGAATTACTGCTGGGATCTAAGTTATTGTCGTGCCCTGCATTTCCTCTGCTCTCTTTCTCCTTAATTTACAGCTGAGGCTCTTACTGCTGTCTTCAGTTTGTGAGAAAGTGTTTGAAGCCTGTTATATAGCACGTGGCGCATTTCTGTGGGGCTTTTTCCCATACAGATATTTATTATATGGTTTCCCCTAGCTTGTTGAGGGTAAGACCCAAGGAGCTGGTTCGTTCTTGTTATTTCTTTGAATAGCAAAAGTTGCAGCCCATCAGTATAGGGCTGTAGTGTAAAAATGTTGAGGGAAGGATGGCTGGGATTAGCAGAGTGTCAGGGCTGAGGTTTGAGGCACATCAGCAGAAATGCATTGGAAGATTTTTGCTCAGAATAGCAGGGGGCATTACAGAAAAGGAACAAGATGCATTGACATAGCAGTGTGTGGGAACCTTGCACATTTTTATCCTACTGTGTATCTAATGGATTTCAGAAATTTCACCTTTTGTACTGAGAAATGTGCATTTTCTGCTTTCTGGATACACATCCCTTAATTAAGTGAGTTGCAGAGATGGCAAATTCAAGGTGTTGCATTACAGCTCTAATACTTGCCCATTCGTGTGCTCAATGGGGCCTGACTGTACATCCCAAAGTAGCACACGCAAACATTTTAGAGACGCAAACAATGGAATAGACAGCGACAGAAGTTATTTGTCACGCTATTTAATGAGCTGCTCTTGCATTTCCCTGGGAGGGTAAATACAAACACACACAAATGAGCACAAGTCGCTTGTACATGGGTGATAGGCATGCTGCAATGTGACAGCTCAGCTGCCCCCGTGCTTTCTGCCTCAGTTTCATTTGCAGGGCAGTAGGACTGGGAACAGTCACCCTTAACCCTGAGGGAAGGAGAACTGCTTAAAATCTGCATAGATACAGCTGTATTGGCTTTGCTACCATCCCTGGAAAAATCTTGTCCTTCCCTTTCCTGTTGTTGTATCCACTTTTTTCTGAAAGGTGAGGACTCCCACACCAGACCACACTACCCTGGTGGTAGGGAGCCACATTAGCTCTCTTCTGGCTCCTTTTTACAGTTTATGGAGGTGGGCAGAACCTGGGTGCAGGGCACTGACACCTCCACCAGCTCCTGGATGGTGAGGCGTCAGAGCAGGTCTCAGCGAAAGCCTGGCTGCAGCTGCAGAGCCCCATGGAGAAGTTAAATGAGTCCGTGCCAGGCTCTGGGCTGCCAGGACCGGACCGTGAGCAATCACCAGGCTGGCCAAGCACTGCTGCTGCTGGGTGTGGGTGTTATCAAGGCTTGGATGCCCACTCCCTCCTGTGGCATCTGTGTGGCCTCGTACTCCCAGAGCATTTTTTAGCAGATTTTTTCAAGGATGGAAGTGACGTTGCCTGAGCAGAGGGATGACAGAAGGCATCACCTCGTCTGAAAGCCTCAGACAGTCCATTAACTTCTGTCTGCACCCTCCCTTTGCCCTGGAGAGAAAAGGCCACCACAGGGCTCCTGTACATATCCAGAATGTCCTGTCAGAAACCAGAACTCACCTTGTCCCACAGGTCACCGCCGCCAGCAGCTTTATGGCAATGCAGGCTTCTCTGCATGCTGCGTCTTCCTCGCCCCGTTTTCAGCAGGCCCTAATGTCTCCTTTCTGTATTTATATGCAAACAGCAAAGTGATAAGTATCTGTTGAGCTGTGTGGCAGGCCCATTACTATTCATAAATGATAAATTCCAAACACCCCTTGCTGGGTGGCTTCCCTCAACACACTGCTTGGGATCTGTGTTTATCTGCAGAGCATGGCAGGTCACTCGTACACTGCAATGCTGGGACTCATCAACTCCAACCAAGGAGGCCAGATGGTAATAGCAGCTCTCTGACAAATCATACCTCCCTTTCCTTTGCATCCATTCCTCTGGTAAACAAAGCACAAACAGACGCTTAGGGGAGTCCTTTCCAATGGCATGCTTCTGAAGAAACTTTTATGCTGTCCAAGAGCTCACATTTCTTTGATTAGCAGCACTGACCTGACCCAGAACAGAGTGTTAGCACTGCAAATTTTTTTTCTCCATCACAGATGTGATTTGAGATGAAATGTCATTCCTTCAGCTGCTTTTCTATGTCAAAATGAGGCAAAGCTGCCCTTGGAGATGGAGATTGGAAAAGATGGTCTGAACTCTCCCTTGTAGAACTCTCCTGGGCTTTGCCATGGAAAGAACTTTTGATTCTCAGGGAAGAAAAATATAATTTCAGCTGTACAAAATATTACTTTAGTTTGGGGATTTTAAGGCTTTTTTTCCTTCTTCAATTAGCAAGAAAAACTGACATCATAAATTAAAACTTCATTTCATTTGCTTGTGACCTCCTCTTTGGAGAGTTCACTGAGGTAGGTAGGTGTCAAATGGGGAAGGTTTTTGGGAACTGCAAGACTGCAGCTGGAGACAAACTTTTCACTGTAAAATTATCATTAACAACACACGAACAGGGGAGACCTCTTGGCTTCTCAGCATTCCCATTCACTAAACAATACCACATCAGCCAAGGAGTAACTGGGACAGGACATCCTCTAGGAACTGCCCAGCTGGTGTTCAATGTCTCTTTGCTTTCTTTGTTTCAGGTCATTGAGTGCATTACCCAAGGCCGAGTTTTGGAAAGGCCTCGAGTCTGCCCCAAGGAGGTTTATGACATCATGTTGGGCTGCTGGCAGAGAGAACCTCAGCAACGGCTCAATATCAAGGAGATCTACAAGATCCTTCATGCTCTGGGCAAGGCCACACCAATCTACCTGGACATCCTTGGCTAGCAGTGGCCACTTATCGAAAATGCCTGCTCCTTCCTTCCGTCCTTCCTTCCCTCTCCCCCTTCCCAGCCTTCTGCCCCTCAGCTCCCAAGCAAACATCTTCATATAAACTCAAGTGCCTGCTACACGTACAACACTGAAAAAACAAAACAAAAAGCAAACCAACAACAATCCTACAAAACAACAACCTGTAAGGCAGTTTGGCTTATATATATTTATAGATATCTCTCTATATATAACTTCCACGCCAATACAGAAAGAAGCTGCTGTTACAGAAAATTGTAAGACTTTAAAAAAAAAAAAAAAAAAGAAACAAAAAAGGGAGAAAAAAGTACTTAAAATATATATATAATTAAAAAAAAAAGAGAATGAAAAGAGAAGGTATCTTGCTCCCGAGCAATGAAGCAGTGAATTGTAACCCTGCTGTGAGTATGGTTCGGGCTGCTGGGCAGGGCTCTAGAATGGCTATGGCAGCAATGCCATCCCGGGTAGGAGCCCCGGGAGGAAAGCCTTGCCCTGGTTGTATGATATGCACTGAATGTGTGAAATCAATCCTCCCTTTTCGTCCTTGCCTCCCGCCCTCCTTCCCAGCCCGCAGGTGATGGGCACAAAGCCAGGGCAGTGCCCCTGGATGAACTCTCTTTTACCAGTCCCTTCCCTCCCTCTCAGTCCTTCCCCATCCCTCTCTGCCTTCCTGCCTTTCTCCTCCCTCCGACATTTCAGGACAATTTTTCTAATTTGCTGATTCTTAAATGTATAGACTCAAGGCTTTTGAACACACAGTCAAAGGATTGTGGCACCTACGGGTAAAACACACACCAGGAACCAGCCGCCCTCCCACAGACAGCGAGCCGGCTGGACCCAGACCCCCTCCTGCCGCACACCGGCTGCTGCCAGGGATGGGAGAGCAGCAGGACCGAAGCAGCTTCACAAGGGATTTGAGGGGGGGTCCTGGAGACCCGGTTCTGAATCATCCCCAACTCATTTCAGCGTGCGAGACAGGAATACCGTTTGTTCAGGGCGCCCAGCGCAGGCGGCGACTTTGGGAGGAACAAACCCTGTCCCCATCCCTCGTTTTTCTCTCCACCCTTAACGTTTGCTAGTGGCCATGGGGTAGTTTCCTCTCCCTCAGCTGTCTGCACCAGGGCCATATTGGTCCTTGGTGTAAAACTTCAGTGGACAGGCTTGGATCCCTGCTCCCTGAATGGGGGAAAGGCTGCAGCATGCAGACAGCTGGGAGTGTGCCTGCATCTCGGCTGGGCATGCCTATGGGGTCAGCATATCCCAGCGCTCTTCCTCTCCATCCTCTTTGTTCCCCATCCCTGCCCCATGCCTCAGGCACAAACTAGCAGGGGACAGGGAGAGGGACAAGGCTTGTGAGATGGCTGGGAACCTACCAACACCTGCCTGCAGGCCCCTTGCCATTCTCCTCACGTTCCCATCCCCTGAAAGGATTGATGCATCTGCCTTTGAGCTGTTGTGAAATGCAGAGGCTGAAGAATAGCTCCACAGGCAGCCCCGGGAGAAGGGGGGGGAAGGAGGGGAAGGTGCCTTCAGGAGCAGACAGCTCAGCGGATGGCCGCAGTGGCCAGCCTTGCATCTCAATGAGGATAAAAGCCTGGCAGGCAGAGACAGGGGGTGGTGGGGACAGCGAGGGAGAGACAGAAGCATCCTCCCTATAGCTCATCTCCCTTGAGCAGGAAATAATCCCAACGTGGGGAAAGGCTGACTCAGACGCTGAATCCCATCCGTCCAGACTGGGCTTAGAATAAAAAAACCTTTCCAGGTCGTTTTTTTCCTATGGCGAATCGAGGATGAGGGGGAAACCTCAGCTTCGCAGCTGCTCTCAGGAGGCAGGGAGCAGGCGCCACAGGCATCGTCAAGGCAATTTTGAGAAGGTAACAACCGCCAGCACAAAAATAGCCCACTCGGACGTGGCGCTTGTTTGGAAGGGAATACAGATGGGGGAAGAGGAGAAGAAGAAGGGATCTTGGTTCCTTTCCCATGGCCAGAGTAGCGTTCATGACCAGGATGAGAGGGGAGGTAGGTGACTGGTTATGGCTGGCTATTGAAAGGGGGAGATTTTTGCATCCTCTTCTCATTCCCCTTGTCTCTTGCCAATCTCTACTTTCCACCCATGGCTGTGTCATGACCTGGCTTATGGTTTTGGACAGGGGACACTGCTACAAGGAGGTTTGTGGTGGCAGCAGTGGCCTTGGGTTTATTCTGTGCTTGTGTAAATAGCAGTGCAAGCTTGGGTGGGAGATGATGGGTATAACCATGTGGGAGTAAGGCTGTAGCCTTCCCCTGCCTGTTAGAGACATCTGGGCTAGCGGGACAGATTTGTGCCAACATGCTGGACAGACTGCCACTGAACAGGCACCAGCAGCTCACAGCATGGACACCAAAGATGGCATGGTCAGGGACAAGGGTGTGGACTGGTGCCAGGAGTCCGCACACAGGAGCAGAGTACCATGCCACGCCTCAACAGCAGGATCTTGCTCCTTTGGGAGGGGACACCTAGTTTTCCTCATCTGCCTACTTAGGTCCACCTCTGGAAGTGAAAAAGATTGGTTGAAAGTTTGCTAGCCCTGGCCTCGCTCGCTTTGTATGCAGGCTGCTTTCGCTAAAAGGACTGGAGACTGTACCAGTGGAGAGCAAGCAATGGCTGTTAATTGCCCAGTGTGTCCAAAAGAAAACCCTGCCCTGGGGCTGCCTGTCTCTCACCCCAAATGTCTTGCTCTTGCGGCTCCCAGGCACTATGACAGATTGTGCAAGGCCACCATTTTGTCCACTCCTCTTTCTCGCTCTCATGTTCTCATTTGTCTTTTGGCCAACGTCACAGGCCTTTACACTATCAAATCACCTACAGACACTGTGTTCCCACGTTTGATGAGATTCCCCTGTCACCATTCTGCACAGCAGCTACATCCTCCTTTCCTTCCTTCTTTCCTCCTTCCCCTCCTCCCCAGCACCACCACCCTGTCCCTTTTGCCACCTCTTTGTATGGTTACGACAGAAAGGCAAGCTCAGGAGCTGAGCATGACACCGAGCCTTGCTGCTGCGTGGTTAGGAATACATGGTCTATGAGAGGCAAGGAGGTGGGTCCCCAGAAGATGTGAAGTGGCTGAGACCAACGTTCAGGCTGTCTGTCTGTTTTACTGTTAGTCCCACCAAGTGCAGCGACTGCCTCGGAAAAAGGTCCTTTTGTCAAAGTTAATTGTGAGCAATTTCTCAGAAGAGCTGGATAAGCTTCAGTTCTGTGGCGTGACATCTTCCTGGTTGGTGCTGCTGCTGCTTTATGCCCCTTGGCCTACTGGTGCTGGATGGAGATTTGCTGGCGGGGAGAAGGTTGCTTTGTGTTTAAAGACATGATGGAAACTACTGCATCCCTTTTTGATGTGACAGTTTTGGAAAGGAAGAAGGAAAGCAGCTGTGCTGAGTTCCTGGTGAACACCTTGAGATCTCATTTCCAGAAGCATCTTCCCTGGACCAGAAGCAGAGCTGCCCATCAGCATGGTGATGATGCTCTTCCCTGTAGGAAGACAGGCTCTGTGGTGGCCCTGCTTCATGTGAGGGGAGGAAGAAGAGCAGATTTGGGGGGAAACTCTCACAGAGTGCCATAAATCTCAGTGTGGGGACTGTTTGGAGGCAAAGAGAAATAAGTTCATGCTCCTCCTCCATTTCCAGGAGAGATACTTCCCACTAACCTGCCTCTGCTAAGAGGAGAGAGCTATCCCTGCTACCTGGGAACACCGGTCTCACCCAGCTCTGGGGCAAGCCAGAACTAACTCCCAGCATGCCCAGAGAGGTGTTCCTACCACCCACCCTCCTCCATCAGCAGTTTTTTCAAGGGAAAGGGAGCCAGGAAGAACATCAATCTGGGCACTGCTGAGAAGGGGCCATGGGGTCTTCCCTGTCCCAGCTGCATCCTGCTCCCTAAAAATTAAAATTTTTAGCACCAACTCAGACACCCAAGGGTGTCACTGAAATGTTGCTTTCTTGGAAGTGAAGGTACTATGCATGGTACGGATGGCAATCGCATCCCACGGCTGCAAACTTTGGGCAGTAAATGATGCCTTAGGGACTCAGTGACCTGTCTTGTCTTCTCCAGCCATTACTTTTCCTTCTAGTCTGTCCAGCTGCAAGATGAAAGCTGAAATGTAGCTAAGGGAAGACATGGAATATACTGCCAGACTGAAAGTTCCTCCTGTCTCCCACAAAGCTTGACCATCTGGTTTTTTTAAATGCCCCTCAAATGCATGCATTTTGGGGGTGAAAAAGAGCCTGGGCTGCCTCATTTCAGGGTTTTGGGGAAATAAAAAAGCCAAGGAAAGGGAAAAGTTGGCTTTAGAAGGCAAATGAGTGTCTTGGGTTGGGAAATTGAGACTGGTTTCAGGAGTGTGGCATAGAATTTTAAATAGCACAGTGGACACAGGCAAAACCAAAAGAAAATAGCAACATACTGGAGCTCTAGGAACAGTTAGCTAGAACGCTGGGCAAATATTTGTTTAACAAGGAGAGAGAAACCCGTAAAAGCAAGGGACCATTTATTCAGCCAGAAAACAAAATTGCTAGGGTTTGTACTCTTTTTTGATTTTTTTTTTCTATAAGAAAGTGCAACTAAAAGAAGGCCTGAAAAGTTGTTTTTTCAGGGCCACGGACAGAAGTATAATACTATATGAGCTTTTTCCTTTCATGTGAAAGGCTCTTGTTTCCCAGAACTCAAATACATGAGTTTCCCTGAGCTCAGGATATGGGTTGAAGAATATAGACTTGGATTACCACAAGCCCATGAAACCAGGAGTAGTTCTCAACACTTGATCAACAGACATTCATGTGCCAGTCTGCATCGAGACAGTATTTTGTTCAGCAATGTCATCTTAAGAAGTTTTTTTTAAATCTGTCTTATTTTTCCTCCCCCAGGGAGGGTCTACATCCTTTGCCCAACTGTGACTCTCAATGGTTTATGAAAAGGCAATGCAAGTAGCTGAATTTTTGGTGCATCATATGTCCATTTTTCCTTCTGATCTGGCCATGAATCAGCTGAACCACTACAGCCATGGTTCATATCCCATGTTTTTGTAACTGCTATAGGTGTGTTCTCTGGTTGTAAGGAAAAGGTAAGGACAACAAGCTGAATAAATGGGATCCTGGCTTTGATACCATGCTGTCGTGGCTCCTCTGATAGCTGGAAGGCTTTGGGTATCAACAGGGCTTCTCTGCTATGAGACTCAGCAGACACAGGCATGCTTTGACACCACCCAAAAGGCTTATTCTCCATTCAGATGAAGTGGCTTTCTGATGGATGGTAGGGTTATGGAGCCTTGGAATAACAGTGCTGCTGTCTCCAGATGAGTACCA